CATGTTCGTTGTTAACTGCAAAAGATTCCGCGCTTTACTGTGCACGACGACAACTAGCGCTGCATATTTAAAAAAATAAAAGTATTGTCCACTGAAAATTTTCACATGCACAAGTAATTTCACTGAGTTTCTACTCTCATCGTGATTATACTCTTGAGAATTCTCTAAAAACACCCATTCTCTTGGTATGTAATGTTGGTACCGAGGGAATGAATTTTCTTGTTGTTACATGAAATCTTAAAACAAGTTGTAAAAAAAAAAGAGAAGATTCCAAAGCGTCACTATAAAAATCGACAAATTTTCTGTGTGAATAATACGGAATTCCAATAACTCGAAGAATTCTAGTAAATGTCGATGAAAGTACTGGCAAAGACATTTTGCACATTGTAAGAAAATAAAAAAAATATATCAAGATATCGGCAGACATTTGGTTGGTGAGCTTAAGTCAATATTTATATATTTTGTCCATGTAGCGAATCGTATTCTCATTAAGATAACATTTCATTAAATGATTTCAAAATATTATCTTCTTTCTTTGATGAGTTATTAAAATGCTCAAATTACTTTCCATGCATGAATTGTTATGATTATAAATACTGGAAATATCGAAGAAATTATTTGGATAAAAAATTTTGCAAGTAATGCTTCGCTTCGATATTCACATCGTCAATGTTATCATTAAATCCTAATAGGGTGTCAAATTCTCCTTGGAAGATTTTCAACTGAATATTTTCAATGCACTTGACATTATCGTTGTGATTATAGATAACTTCCATAAATAAGATTTTTTTAAAATTTTCCAAGCTGTTTTTTGTGTCAACACATTTACTAGTCTTTCAAGTGCTTCTTTCTTTTTTTTCTAGCTACTAATTCGAACCGTAAAATGTTTAAAAATTAATTAATTGCAAAAACTCTACGATAATCTCACAACTGAGAGTAACAAAAAAACTTTGAAATAAATGGTCTTCATTGAAGGACGAAAAGATTTAGTTATTTTTTTTCGAAATAAATCCCACTACCTTAAAGCTTCCTTTAATGCATTTTTTATTCAACGGGATAAGTAGTTAAGTAGTGATTCCACGTTTTATGTCAGACAGCGTAACAGTAAAGTTATTCTGTCTCTTTTTGTGTGGAGCATTGGCGAATGCTAATAAATCGCAAGTTCGTACATAAATCGAGATTTTCAAAGAACCAGTCAGCATGCCGACTCTAAGCATTTAGCATTAGTGATCGTTCAAGTACCTATCCTTCCGGCACGTTGACAGTTAAAGTAAAGGAGAGAGAACAAACGAGAGAAAGGAAGAATCCTTTGCGATTCTTCGATGAGAAAATAGGTTGCGTCGTGAACTTTGGGGAATCGCTCTTTCGTTATATCCGTTTTCTCTCTTCGAACCGCATAAGGCTCAGAGAGGTCTTGAAAAGGGGTTAAATATACGCGCAGGTGTTCCACATAGATAACCCACCATTGGCATGAAGCCAATAAAACCACCTATATGGTCTCGTCTTGAGTATCGATCTCATGCACTGACTTTTCATTCAATTTCCCTGCACTCTTTAAGTCTTACCTGCTTCTCTTTCATTCGTTTCATTCATCCATCAACTTTTCCAGCTTTCTTTTCTCTAATTATTATTTCTTTCATTTTCTGCTTCATATAATCGTCGAGTGTCGCTAATGATGTCAAGATAAGCCTTAAAGATGTACCTTTTTGAGTAAATATTTAAGTAAATTAATTAAAGACCACCCATATGAAAAGTTTATAATAAATTTCTTTTTAGCTCCTACGTTGTTTTTATTTCTTTTAAGTAATTAAAAAATAATTGATGACATTTAATTATAATGTGCATTTATTTAAATTAAAATTTAGGTCAACATTAATTTATAATTATTTAATCATGGAATGAAAAAAAAAAAATGTTAATTTCAAAAATGCATTTATCAAAAGTTTATCAGTTGTCATTAATTTAATTATTTTATTTTAGAAACAATGATAAATCTATCATCATGTTTTTAGCCTCGATAATTACATCGACAGCGAAAATTGAAATTTTATTAAATGAATGATTTATTAATTAAGAGGTGATTATATAAATGAGAGAATTAAAATGGAACTATGGAAATAAATGATATCATAATTGACTGAATTTCTTGGTGATATCAATGAATACTGGAGATTAAGGAGAGATACTGAATTGATAATTCATTATCGAATATCGAATGGATTTTAATACCGATTATTATTACAAACGGTGGCCTAGATAAAACTTTCCTTTGGGTGAATTTTTTTCTTAGTGTTAGCCGCTAGTGAGTAGAATAATGGTGCTGTTACATTTATCCCCCAGTCTTTCTTCTGCAGTGCGAGAGCTACCTTCTTTCCTGCTTCCTCTTTCTAGACTACTGTCGAGAGAGGTTCGTTTCCGATAATTTATAACTGCTTATCTACAATTTCTCTCATTCTTCCTAAGACTACTGAGTCTCAAGAGTGTCTTTTATAAATTTCAAAACGATAGGAAAAATAAAAAATTCCATCTACATGATTCTATTTCCATAGGATACAACTACTACTTTCATTAAATAGTCATATTTTATCATTTTCATTTCTTTATTTAAGTTTTTTCTCAAATGGCAACTGTACGTATAATCCAAGAAGTGACATAAGTCACGAGACATTCCGTGGTTTATATCGTATGACCTTAATTTTTCATGATAAAATATCTATGACAAGAAAATAAAATTTTCTTATGCTATTAAGTTATTACTAGAATTATTTTTAAGAGCATTAAAAATTATTTCTAATAAATTTTTAAGTTATTTTGTAAAAAATAAAAGGTAGAGTAAATAAAAATATATATAAGACAGCATTAAATTATAAAAAAGTATGGATTTAAGAGATGGTTCTCTAGTTCTTTTGATCATCTTCTCTGTGACTTGTCAACTGTGAGAAATATCTTTTCCTTTAATCCTTTCAGCTAACGTTTTTATCCTTTAAAAGTCTGTTATAATTGAACACACTTTTATCAAATTATTTATTTTTCATTTTTATTGCTATTAATCATACTCATATTCCACTCAATTATTTAATCGAGATATTCAGAATTTCATTCATGGAAATCGAACTTGTAATATTTAAACTGGATGCTTTCATTATTCACCGTTGAAAGCAAATAAACAGTTTTATTGTTATTATTATTATTATTATTATTGTCATTATAAGGCTAGTCAACTGTACGGTAAACATACTATTTTATACTCGCTAATTGAAATAATGTACATGGAACGTTAAAATTAAAAGCCAGTGTTCAGCAAAACTATCGATTAATGTGGAGTATAGAAGGTATAGTTTGTATTAAAGTAAGTAGAGGAGAAAAAGTCTATAGTTCACAGAGTTTAACAAAAACTTTTTTTTCTATTATAAACTATGTTAATTACTCAATCAACCTTTGGCTCACAAATATTGGAAAAATTACGTCTACCCATTAATTATCTTTCACTGTGGAGTAGAAAGGATTTATTCATGAATAAAAGTGAAGAATATTTTAAAAAGTGACAAGATAAGGAGGAATAATTTCCAGTAGATGGTAAGAAAAAAGAAAATGTTTCAAGAGATTTGTATAATAATATTAGTTAGAATATTGTGTGTAAAAATAAATTCTAAAAGATCGAAGAGATGTTGAGAATAACTCTGTAAGAGAGAGAATAAAATCACATTTTTGACGGGTATTTTCTCTCGAAATTTTTTTATTTAAGCTCAAATAAAATCTCGTCATTTTCGTTCAATAGCATTGAGAAAATTCTCCTGTGTATCGGCTCCAACGAATCAAATTAACGGGACAAATCCTCTCGTCGACACCCGGAAGAGGATTCGATCCAGTCACGCTTGGGTTATAAATCTCCAGTTCGTATGTCTCGGAATTCTCTGGTTTGAGGAAACTAGACATGTAGTCTATTCCTGCTTTGTTTTTGTCTCATTGGTTTGACCTAGGTTCGAGAAAAATCGATTCCGACTTGGAAGAAAGTTTAGTTGTAATTTCTACCATCTAAGAAATAGCCATGACAGGATTAAGATCGTTCGTTCAGGTCAGGGTTCAGTAAATTTAGTGTCAGTTGAGTTCTATATGTCTACACGAAACTTCTGAGCTTTTATAAAGCTTGTGCAAGTGTAGTACCGGTACTCATGGTAAATGAAGATCAAAGAGATTCCAAAAATACTTTGAAAGAGGCGAACATTATTATCTAAATATTTTAATAAGAAAATAATGCTTTTAAGCATAAAAATTTAGAAAAAAAATTACTATAGAATTCACTTTACTTTTTCAAAAAGATCAGTATGTTTTATGAACTTTAGAAAAAAAAAATTTCTTTTCTTTTTATCCAACAAAATTTCCTCAGTAATAAATTGGGGTTTTCATAAAAATACCCAAATGGAAGTTTATTCTAAAAAAAAAAAATTTTCTGCTGATCGAAACTATCATAAGCCGATCATATAAGCCAAGAACACAAGAAGATACTAAAATAACTTAGTTTATAGACAAGTCTATTCAGCTGTTCTAATTTATAAAATTGTATGAATGTATTTCGTTTACATTATCACATAAGTAGTAATTTATCCATAATATTATATTATTGAAATTTATTTAATATAATAGAATTTTGCAATGATTCCCATTATTACTGTTACACAATAAAATTGTTGTTAATTATTGATAATTGATTATCATTCCTCTTTATGATGGTTTCTTGCAAAATATTAATGAATATACGGCTCCATAACAATTAGTTCAATATGATATCCTTACAATATTGATATATATATCAAAATGGAATGTAATTAGTGAAAATGTATTCAAACGTGAAATTATTGAATGCAAAAAATTCATTAAAATACACAGAAGTCCTGTTGAGAACATTTGAAAAATGTATGATTTTTTATCATGAGGAAGTTCAAATTAAGTGAGTATAAAATCGACAGGTAATGAAAATGAATTTAAACGTTTAAACTCACCTTGATACGAAGCAGGTGTTGCAAACTCTGAGCTTGGGTACTGTTAGGTGGTGGATTATCTCCACCAAGACGTGCCACCGCAATTACGTTTTCCCTCGTTACATTGTACAAAAAAAGAGTACATACCGTCTGCAAGTGAATATTATGGTTTTAACATCATATATGATAAGAAGAAAAGATAGTAAAAAGAATTAAAATTACGAACATATATAATAATTAACTTATCTCTATTGCTAATTATGTAATTTCATATTTGAAAGTGAAGTAGTAAAAAAAAAAATTACTTCCAAAAGATATTTTAAAGCTAAATTTTCAACAACTTTATAATTGAATTAAATAAGAATATAGCAAAAAAATTAAGCTTTAATTAAATATATTGTAATACTTGAGTGTGATTCTGGTGATAAAATTTTGAGTTTATTCAAAACTTCTACAATATTCACTGTAATTTCTGATTTTTATCGAGTATAAAAGTTTTCAAGAGGATATGAAAACTAGGTTTTTAGGAACAGAAGCAATTTAACTTTAAGCCATATTTTTTCAGACGTTGTATTTTTTTATCAAAACTACTAGTCTCCACCTCTAAATTATTATATTACTTGAAAGCTGACCTGCAATATTACTCACTCACATTAGTGTTTTAATTTACGTAATACATATTTTCGAAGGGTTTTCACGATGACCTTTTTATTTATTATCGTGCGTCATTAATTTGAAGGTATTCATTATAGAGTATAACAATTTACCTGATTGTTAGCTTGCTCTCTCATGAAACTGTCTAACGAATTTACCGCATCAAGCACAGTTAAGTTGTTGTGAGGTTTGAGAAGGTTTTCATCTGTTTCGCTATATCCAAGGAACATGAAGACTCCATGAGGTATATTGTAGGTTTCTATTTGAACACAAAGACGAAACATGAAAGCGTTAAACTACTTGTTTAAAAGTAAATTTAGTGTGATTGCTTAAATAGTTTTAAGATTCATAGCACGTGTTCATGTCTCTTGACTTTCTCATTTTAAGCGACATTGTAGAGAAAATGCGTTTAATTCATCTTAAGTGGTAGGAGAGATAGTTAAATTACCTGGAGAAGGTCGCATGCATATGAAACGACCACTGTAACACAAACAACGACCACGGTAGGCCTGGTAAGCGGGTGCTGCATGGTTATAGAACGCAAAATCTGTCTTGCAGGGTGACGATTTAACGCATATTGTATTGCAGACTAACGTTACACCCTCACCACATTGACACAAGTCCGAACATTCTGGTTCGTTGTCATGATAAAGCTGAAATATAAAAAAAAATCAATACTTCAATTATTTATAATCCTGAAAAAATAAAGGATCAACTCATAATTTGATGAATGATAAAAAAGTAAATAACAAAACAAATCTGTGAACTATGATATTTAAAGTAAACTTTTATCAAATATTATTAACTAATTTGCATGAATTCAATTTTCCGATTAAAAATCTAATCTGTTCTACACTAGTTGAATCTGCTGTAAAAAAATCCTAGCTTTATGTCCTCTCGTAGATTATTTCTATGCTAGAGCAAAATATCAAGAGTGCAAATGACATTTGATTTTCGAGGATGTAAAGGATAAAAGAACAAGAGAAAAATGGTATTTGAGCGAGTAAAATTACTCTTCAGTGTACTCACCCTTTTTCCTTTACCCTCACGAATATACTGATGATGGCTTTGACTTGGTCTTTGAAACACACAAAAACCTGTAAACATAAGTAGAAAACTTGTACACATAGTTTCTTCCATGTTTTTACTTAGTTCTCTTTATTTTGCAATGTTTGTTTGTCATGATTTCAAAGTTCTAACAGTTCTTATATATATTTATTTATTTTTTTCGATTTCTATTTGCTCCTTGTCAGTATTACGATCGGACTGGTGCCTTTTGGCGTGGAAACATCTGTCAAAATGTCGCATGAACGATCAAAGTGTTTGTTTCAAAAAATAGTCAAGAGAAAAACACTCTATAAAATTTCGAGAATATTTTCTTTAGTGAGCAGTTCATTCGACGATTTAAATTCTTTTGCTCCTTTGATTCAAAGTTTAAGAGAGGAACTGAATATTAGCTTTTGACTTGAAATTTTCAACTTCCCGTTCGAAAATTTACATCAAAATGAAAGATAAGGAAAATATTCTTACGTGGTGGTGTAGTGCTAGTGGTTGTTGTAGATGGTGTCGTTATTTGTTCCGTTGTAGTCATTGAAGTTGTACTCGTAATAGTTGTACTAATGCTAGTTTCGGAAGTTATTGTTGGTTGAGTCGTTTCTTTTCTCGTCACTTCTGGTATTACATTATCATCTTCAGCACGTTCCGTTATTGTAGGTGTTGTTGCTAGAAATGTTGGTGTCGTGCTTAACGCTTCAGTCGATGTTGTTGTTCTGGGATGTAGATGATGGTGATGCTTTTTCCGGGCATGAAAGTCCTTCTGCGAATCAACTACAAATACAAATTACTTCAACTTTCGAAATATTCATGACTATTTTTTTTCCATTACCGTTAATTACTTTTAAATACTAAGATGTACCATGAATATTTTTCTTCTTGGAATTATTGTTAATAGTAACTTTTCCCTAGTCTTTAAGACAGGTATTATTCGTAGACTTTGAAATGCTTGTAACGAGGATATAGGAAAACTCAACAAACATGTGAACTAGGTTGCTTAAACTATTCTATGCAGTACTGAATCTATTTCTTGATATCTAAATAACTTATCTCACCATTGAATGCAATTCTCAATATAGACTACATTTGCTCTTATTTTATGAGAAATAATGCCAAGTTTAATTCGACTTTATTCCGCTTCTTCTATAAAATTATACCATTTAGTTACATCAAAAATTAAATGTTTGAACTCAAATGAATGTTTAATTCAATTTTTATACCATTTAACATGAATGAGTACATACATTGAATAAATTTACAATTAACGTACGTTTTTTTATCTAATCTCATTTACAATCGATTTTATTTTAAAAGTTAATTTTATTTAGTCTTATAAATGAAAATATTGAAATTAGCGAGCTATTTCTTTGTTATCTATAGTTAAATAAATAGTTAAAGATAATTTATAATAATTATTCTAACAATAATAATTTGGTCTGAATAGATTATTATTTTATTTAGTTTTATTGAAAAATTTTTTTGGTTCTTTTATTCAATAAAATTAACAAAATTTCACTTACCTACGCAAGAATTAACCCAAAGAAGTCGTTGCCATCCAAGGCAATCAGACATTTGCGTAAGTTCGGTACCCTTACAGGCACAATTGGACCTTAATTCTGTGCCGAGAATCCCCAACATTGCTCTTCTACAGTCCGCAGGCGGACCGGCGCACTTTTTTGTCAAACTATCCACCGCACAGCTCTGCTCGTAATGTTCCAATTTACTCCTAGAGGATCATACCAATTATTCTGATGATACTTCTTATCTTGACTCTTAAATGTCATCAGCATATTCGATTATAACAGTCAATAGTGAATTCATTAATTTTATTGATATTGAGTTAAAAAAACGATATGAAATATTTTTAGTGTAGAGAGATTATTATAGCAAAAAAATTAAAACGAGTTCTATGAATAATCAATAAGTTATTATTTTAATCTAAAAGCAAGTACTTTTTCCCAGTAATTAATAAGATAAATTTATCTTGTGGAAAAATTAAAGAAAAAAAAAAAGAAGATATTAAATTGAAAGCGGAAAAGTTCACTTCACTTATATATAAAATTGGGGTCAAACTTTACGAATAATAATAATCGATTATATACAAGAGTACCTCAGTGATGAAAAAAACCTCTTGAATTTTTTTTTTTTTTTTTAGATCAGTTATTTCTTAATTGTATAATTTATAATATATTTTCTGAGATAACTAGGTCAGGTATTGTATGACATCGACATGATAAAATGGAAAATTCATCTTTAGCATTTCGATGACATTTTCTATTGAATATCCCATAAACATTGTTATAAAGCAATCTTCGATAATCTATTTGATATTTTATACCTGCATATACTATTTTCTCGACAGGATTGAGCTAAACTGTGACAGGTTGGAAGATCATTGCGGTCATTACTCTGAATACCTTGAGCACATTCAGGATGCATTTTTTCTTGAGCAATAATACATTCATCTGACCTATCTGAAGTTTTTCTGAAAAATAAAATAATAATGATGATAAATCTAAGTAAAACTTATTAATTAGAAATAATTAAAAGTATTCTTTTTCGAATTTTAATGAGATTGAGATATTTTAAAGTAAAAAAAAATTTTAAATAATGCTGTGGATGGTATGTTCAAACTTTTTCCTTATTATAAGACATTCCCTTTGACAATTCAATCATAACTAAGTTGACTAATGCAGGATAGACAAGCATAATAATAATAATAATAAATAATAATAAAATTATATTGTTTTTAATTTTACGACAATTTGCTGTGACTTGAATTGTTACAATTTCTTAACAGATTTAATGAATTAAAGAAGAATAAATAAATCAATATACAACTAATTTATACTAAAATAAAGATAAAACAATGACATGTATTCAGAACGAACTTGTACTCAAGTTGAAACAATTAAATAATTTTAAAAATTAATTAAACCGGAGAAAACGGTTAATAGAGAAAAGAAGTGAAATATAAAAAAAATATAGCACTTTAATTGAATAGGAGATTGATAAACCGATAATAGAACAACCAGTAAATTGTCTAGTTAATTAAATACATGTAAACTCGTGAGTCAAATCTCTTTTACTTGTACCTATGCCAGTGTAACGAATCTACTTGAAATTGAACCAATGTCTAGAGCAACCCAGTTGTTTCTATACCTTTGCTACCCTCGTTTCATGATTACTCTCGTTTCTCTTCCTTTTCGCTCTTCTCTCCGTTGAAGCTCAACAAATTAAAGTAATTACTTACCTACAAAGACAAAAAGCAATCTCCATGGAGTGACTATCATTGGCCTTCTTGTAAAAGTGTTGGAGAGCGTTCATACACTCATTTCGAGCACAGCGAGATGCGTCACAATGGTTTAATACTGGTTGAAGAAGACCTCTACACGTAGAGTCATTCCTAGTTGTAGATTATTAATGATTAAATTTATTATTTAATTAAGTATTCCAAAGTTACAATATTTAATTAATGATAGCAAAACTTGTAACTTACCGACACATACTGAAAGCTTGATGACACGTGCTTGATAATATTAACTTTACTGGCTGATGTATTACGTTCTCAATATCCCCTGATGAATCTAATGATAAAAAAGAATATAAAAATATAAAAGAGCGTAATATATAAATATAAAATTGAAGCTGTAATATGAGGGAATTTTTTTGTAACTCGAAATACGTTTTTTTACTCTCCTAACATGATGGAGGATATTACGTCGATATATTCAAACACCTTTGATATTAAAGTACACCCTTCTCCCTTGTTCTATGTCATTGCGACTATCTCCTGTCAGTTCGATTCGATAAGAAAAATGAGATCGCAGAATCCAAAATAACTTTTTTTCTCATAAAAACTGATCATAATATGTTTTATGCGTGCGTAGAGATAAATTTTTTATGTTTCGTTCAGTTTAATTAATAATATCCTTGGGTTGAAACAATATTAATCTTTAGATCAAAGAAGAAGGCTGACGTGGTTTCAATTAAATTTTATTCATGCTCTAGATTCTGTTGTAGAAAATAAAATTAAAGACGAGTTAACAGTTTTAGCATATACTAATAAATCAAGCACAAATCTATAGTATAATTCTTGAGAAGTCGCGCCTTAGGATCTTTTTCGTTTCTACCATTTATTTGGTCTTACTACGTTTTACAACATGCTCTTGCACAAAGAATAAAGGAAGATAATCCTCTCATTCTCCATCTATCTTTTATTTTAAACTTTAGTGGTTATATCAGTAAACCTCAAGTCTAGTTTATCAGAGGAAAGATGCCAACAGCAGAGATGCACGAAACGTGTCTCTAACGACGTGGCATGCTTTCAACTCTGTAGTAATTTTATAAATCATTCTCATTCCAAAATTGTGACGAAAAAAATGTTGGAGATAATGAAGATGTTGGTCGTTTATTTTTTAAATTATCTTTATTTTTTATTAGTTTTGAAATTATCTGATGACTTTTCTCATTTGGTATGAAAATTATTCCAGCTATAACTATTATAGGGAAAATTCTCCAACTCTCTACATTCGTATTAAGGATATTTATATAGAAGAAAATTCATTAAGGAATCTAGAATAGTCATTAGAATCTTCTGTTGTAGGTAAATTTTTGTCATTTAGGTGAAAATATTCACAATCGATATATATTCTCAATATGCTTCAGAAATAATCTAGAGCAGTATGGAGATCTTAACCAAAAGATAAATATTATAAAAGACTAGTATGACCTTTACGACATTGTTGAGCACGTTACTATTGGTTCAGTCTGTTAAACATAAAAGAAAGTTTCTATCTTGTATTACAGGAATAGAATTTAAGTGTATTATGCATGAATAAAAAACTGGGCTATTTTTATTTTATCCTTTAGAAGATACTTTTAAGTTATATCATAATAGATACTAGTTATAAAAATAGTGATTGAGTGAGAAGAATAGCAAATAATTTATTATTGTTTTTCTATCAAGCGAAAAATGTAAATTCATGATGGGAAAAAATTCAAAAAAAACCTAACACAAATCAAGGCTTCTTCATTTTTTCATTTATTGAATTTTTTTACTGAGTGCCTTTGAGAAAACTTTTGATAAATACAGTGAAACTACTCAACGATAAAAAATTGTTGAACAGTTTGAATAGCAAACACTTATAAAAAAGTTTTTTTTTTCAATTAGTTTATACAGCAGTCTATCGTTCCTTTTGTTTGACGAATCAACATTGTGATTAATGGCACTCCCATGTGACATTTCAAGTTATTATGTAAACTTACAAGACTCGTAATATGTCGATTAAGATCTTTACTTTTTCTACACATTTTAATATAAATTTTTCTTCCAATAAAATTCCTATGAATATACATTATATCTTAAAGGTATCGCTTAATTATTCGTCGTCATTTTTAGAGGTGGGAAATACATCATTTTTCTTGCATTAATTACTGAACAATTAACTATGCGGAAATTTATAATTTCATTATGTATTTTATGCTTTTAATAAGGACAAACAAACAATAAACACAAAGATACACTGAGCTCAAACGAAAGACTTTCTACATGATGATAAAATGCTGTACGTTGTTAGAGAAAAAGTATTTTAAATATTGTTTTGAAGTTAATGAAGTATTTTTATTTTATGAAAAAGATTGTAGATCATTTATTTGATATGAAAGTATATATTTTCACTTAACTAGTTATTTAAATTCTTTAATTATATTCTTATTTAGCTAAGAATAATATAGGAATGACGATTATGTTGTATAAATATTGAGTTATACTACTTAATTTAGGGAAAAAGACATTTTAAATCCTTCTCACGTACGAAAATACTCTTTAATTATATTTTAAAGTTATTTTACGTTAATCAAAAATTTTCCCACTAACTCAAAAGGCTCAACTTATTATCATGAGAATTTTATTATTCTATTAATTACTTTTAGGGTGAATTGTATTGAAAAGATTTTAATTAGTGTCGTTTAAATTTATCTTAAAATTGAAAAAAAACGTAAAAAATAAACAGGAATTTGGATCATGGATGATAAAATGTTTTGTCCTGTTGGGAAAAAAAGGTATTGAAAGGACTGTTTGCCGACTAATGAAGTATTTTAGCTTCATTGCGAAAACGTTGTGCAAGATTGAGTATTTTCTAAAGCTTCTAAAGTAAATGGAAAGAAAAGATTGGTTTGTATTCGATTCAGCTAATTGGAAAACGTGTCCCACAAGCGTCGAATTATCGATGAGACTCTCGAGAACTTGAAAGAAAGAATGGGAGTATAAAAATCGTACAGCAGAAGATAGTTTGTGAAACTTGAATTGCTAGAAAAGTTTAACCCTTAGAACTGAGATAATTTACAATAAAAAAAACATTTTATAGAAATTGAACGACAAGATGAGATGAGTTGCTTTTCTCTAAATGAAAGAAAAAAAAAAAGCAAATTTACGCTGTCGTTAGTGTTATCGAGATGCAGGATAAAATTTTGCAGAAAACTTTTCAAGATTTGTGTAACGTTTCTAACTCGACATCTTAGTGGTGAAGTTGCGGTCGGATGCAGATATATATGTTTAAGGAATGAGGAAATGAAGGTAGTGCTGAGGGTTAAAATTAAATTAAACTACTTCTAAAGCAGTAAATCATTTTCTAGTAAGTTAGCAAGAAAATTAGGTAAAACGAGAAATATCATTGCAGAGTTGTGTTATCTCTTATCGACTTTTTGCTCTTTTACGTTCTTCTTTATGCGTTTGTTGCTTCGAACTATGTGTATCCGATAATGGGAATCGTTGCTATTTTCTTTTCAGTTGTAAAGCAAGTCGTAAACCTTCAAATCAACTCGAGCAATCGGAAAAGGTTATTTTCAAGCTAGATATGTCGATTCTAAGTAAAAACAGAAAATAACTAGATCGTAGCTGTTGTAATCTTGACTAACATCTTAAGTGTTTTAACATGTTCTTTCGTGCAATTACAAAAAGAATGTAATTGATTTTATTTAATGTGATAATTTTAGTATATTGAGATAACAAAAATACTTTAATGAAATGACTCATTGTAGTATGTACCATTATCATGAGCTGGAAAGTGCATTTCTAAAGCAAATAAATTGACCTCATCTTTGTATTTGAACAAGTAGAATATGAGAGCTTATATGATTTGTTACTATGCTAATTTATTCATCAAAGACTTTTCCATTAGATGGTAAATATTATTTCTTAAACCAGTCAAAGTTAGTCAATTTGTTTGTTGTAGTTATTTTAAGAAACTCACCATCATGATCATCAGGTGTATGGTTCCTTTGATAATGTGGTTGATGACGAAAGCCAGGTAAAGCGAGTTGTTTGAGTGCATGAAGATCTTCATGGTCAGCATCGATGAGTGGGTTCTCCAACTGTGATTCAATAATCTCGAAGCTTGTTGTATTGTCAGGATGTGCGACGATTCTCACTGTAAACGCGTTAGTGTACCAGAGGGGTTAACTACTTATAAAAATAATAGGTGAAAGAGGAGAAAAAATGTTATATATGATACTATTATAGACAAGTATAAAAAAACAAGTCGGTAAATCAATAGCAAAACATAGAGGAGATACAGCAAATAAAGTGATAATCTTCGATTAACAAAAAAAAGTTGTATCATAATAAAATAATCCTTCCTCTATGATATTCTTTGAGTTATGAATAGAACAGAGGAAGGAAAGTGAATAAATAAATTAGATTACTTTTGATCGACGCCACGAGCAGAAGGCGATTTATCAAGTTTTATTTTTAAAAGCACATATTTATTTTTACCATTGAATACTTTCCATCCTTTAGTAGAACGAAAAGTTTACGTTTAGAATTCTACGAGATCCTGTGACACCTGAACAAACTAGAGAGATCAAGAGTAATGTAAAAAAAGGTATTTGGAAAGAAGAATCAAGGAGGATCAATTTACTTTGATTGGAATGATAGAGTACTCCGATCAATCTCGATTGCTCGAGGCGTCGTCTTTTTTCTGGGAATAAAGCTGATAGCTGTGATGAACGCGCAACTTTCCCGGTATATTACTACGAACCTTGAGCAACGAAGCCTTCGAAAGCCTCACTGAGGTCGAAGAGTTGATCGACCGGTAGGCCAAAAGCGTCGTCAATCCGGTCGACAACGACTGCCCCGTGCTCGTAGGTAGGTCTTGGTGCAAACACGTTGGTGCCAGGTTGTAGCGGTGGTGCTGGTTGTGCAGGATCGTTCTCGTTCTCTATGTCAGGTGGTGCAGGCTGTGGTGCAGGTCGAGGTGCAGCGGAATGGTTATTGTGATGATACCAATCGCGATGACGGTGCGAATTGAAGTAATGGTGATAGTGTTGGTTACCAAGGTTAGATTCGTGTCTGTCAAGATCATGCTCAATTGGCTGCAAGTGCTCAGGGGCCTTTTCATGCTTGGGCAGATTAAATAAGGAAGAAGAAGCAGAAGAAGAAGAAGAAGAAGAAACGTCCTCATGATCTATTTCCAAGTTTCTACGTTCTTCACTGGAGCCACCAGGTCCCGAGTGATCGACACCCACATGTGGGTATTGATCGTACTCATGGTAAACATCTACCTTGTGTTTACCGACCCCGGGACTACCTGGCACTTCTGGCAAGCCATAATGCCCGTGACGGTGACGATCGTTGTCGTCGAGATCATAGTTGTAGGTGCGCGCGGTTGGGGGGAAGAGAAAATAGGGGTACATACTGGTCGGGGGCAACCAGATCTCTTGAAAGTTCTCCTGCTGGGGGTCGAACGGATATAAGGCCGAGTCCGTTCCTGATAGATCTAAGGACGCGGAGGAGGGCAGAAAGTCTGAAACACAGAAGCAGAGACGCGAGCAAATGGGGTGAGTGTTTAGTGCCAAAATTTTGACGACGTGCACGAGGCTAAATTGATATTTAATTTTGTTTGTAGACAAGCGAATGCTGTGTTTAACAGTTTATACTGATGGTGAGTATCATGATCGTGATGATGATAGAATAATAAGGCTGGTATTATTGGAGGTTATTGGATTTTTAGAGTACTGAAATATTCCAAGACAGTCATGAGGAGGAAAAGGAAGGTATCTAGAGGAAAATACAGTCCACATTGAATTGAATTTTCATAAAGAACGACTTGCTTCCCGAGAGTCTTGACCTCGTTTACTTCTTATGAATACGCTTTAAAATCACTTGAATTTTTCAATTTTTCCCAAGAAAGGAATTTTTCGTGGTAAAAAAATACTCAGTGTTGTTCGAGTAGTCTATCAGCTACACCAATATTTGATGTTATTTGTCATAATATTTGTTTTGAAAGCAATACTTTATAAAAATAGCATTGTCACAAATTTTTTCCAGAATAATATCAGATTTCCCGCAAAATAAGAAGTGTAAAAATAACGTTATAGTTACTCTTATACAACCGATCAGAAAATTTTCATCCTAATTTTTTTTATGTAAATATCATGACTTTGAAAAGTGATATTTTCTTAAAAGATTAAATTCTTTTTTTCGTAAACAAAAAAATTATCAGAAATTTATTTAAAGACCAGACTGTAGGAATGATGAAAATGAATGTTTGATGAAAAGTGTATTGAAATAACAAAACAAGCTTACCAAATTATTCGTAAGACAAAGAGATTTGAGCAAACTCCAAAAAATAGTACATATAATTATATATGATAGTCGTACAAATACACACAAATAATGACAACCATTGCATGAATAAGAGAAAGAGGAATATATAAACACTCATGCAGAAATACAAAGCATGCGGTGCACATTTTAACTTATGCGGTCTACTGACTTGTACAAACGAATTATATAAAACGGAACATTGTTTTATTTCACGACGTTGGTTGTTACAAAATTGCGAGTTGCAAAGTTTTTAGATTCATATATATATATATAGATAATATAACATATAATTCAAATATCAGAAACTTTATCTATATATGTAATGATGGTCAAATCCATTCTAAGAAGTATCTAATAAATATTTTATAACATGAATTGTAATTAAAATATTATAGAAAACGAATTATTATTTTCATTTTTTCAAAAATATTCATCTAAATAAATGCTTGTGGGTTTCATTACTGAATGAAAATTGAGTTATCTATTCCAAGAGTAAAAGCTGCTGTAATTTGATTTATATACCAGTTTCTCTTTGAATGCCAGTGACTCCTGCATGTGTAATGGGCACAATACATTCGAAAAATGAAATAGAGCGTGACCAGATATTTATTTCAACAAATCAAATAAACTCATAAAATGTATAATAATCAAATGATGTAAAAAGAACCATATTATATTGAAGAATAATTCTGTAATTATTGATTCATTTGCTTTAATTTCTATTAATAAAAAATTATTAGATGATCTTTTTTTAACACCTTTTTAGAACACCTGTGTATTGACGAAAAAAAATGGTAATAAAATAAGAAAGGAAAGATCTCGTTCAGAAATAAATCCAAATTCAACCTCAAAAGTTTTCGAACTATCAGCTTAGAAATAAAATATCCTGTCTTGATAAATGGCAGTTTTACAACATAAAAACTCTTGGTTAAAGTAATCTCATTTTAGAGTTAGTATAAGATTGAGAATAATATTTTCACAGACAAAGATTGAGAAATTTGTTTCTAGTGACGAGTAATCAACTTTTTATATCTATATATTATTTTTAATATCTTGTAGTACTTGCTTTATTGAAATTAACGATAAGACAACTGAATCAAATATTAATGGAATAGAGATAATATTAAACCATGATAATGACATTAGTCAGATCTAAATATATGTCTTAACTGTAAATTGGAATATGAATAGATTTATATATAGTTGGTTTAACAATATACTTTTTTCATTAAAACTTCTTTATAGAGTCATAATTGAAGTTAAATTTCCAAAAATTTTTGTAGTTAAAAGTATCGAAAAAGAAATGTAATAATTAAAAAAATTTAGGTCATTGGTTTTTAAAGTGAAAAAATATATTTAAAATTCAATATTAACAGATAAATGAAATTAGTTAGTAGATACCAAAAGAAGTTTTTAGACACCGTTAAAGTTTCTTAACAAAATAAAAGTTGATAACTTCAAGAAAAGAATTACTTTGAGATTTGACGTTGACAAAATGAAGACTATTTTTTTCTAAAGAATAGACTTGAGCTTCTTAAACATATTTCGTCAAGATAAAACTACTTTGAAAATTCTATTAAAAATTAAATGGAATATTAAATATTAAATTAACATTAATGTCTGCAATATTATGTATTCAGAATAATTAATTTTATTTTGAAATTATCTATTAACACTATTCCAAAAAGTTTTCCATGTCATTTATCGCTAGGAAGCTGCGATTTTTTGTTCAGGTATAATTGAAAGCATGCCTTTTATTTTATTTTCAAGTTCTTGCTTTTTCAAAAAATGTCGATAAATTAATTAAAATTTATGTAAAGTGACTAGATGACATATAAATCCACTGGATACTTGTAAACCCAGGGATAATGCATTTGACATAATTCACTATGCAGTAATGCTTTCAAAAGTTACATAATAAATAAACAAAATACATAATTAATAAATATACTGCATGAAAATAATGAATAATTATTTTCGAAGGATTCCACAACATTAACAGTTGCAATTTAGTGCTAAAGTTACTCAACATATTTATAATCATTCGGAATAAGTTTCTCTTTTTGTCTGAATTTCACTCACATGTGACGACAATGAGAACAATATTTATTTCTAATCGTGAACAAAAAATGGAAAATTGTAAAATGAAAAAAAATGTTAAAAAATATTTATTTATTACTTACCCACACATGGATTGCGATTTACTGTTAAAAATATTCTATCGCAGCGTTTTTTCATTTGATTCCCTGGACAAATGCATCCAAACATGAGTGATAGTCGTATTTGTGACCAAGTTTCATAACATGCCTCCCTGAAAACAATATTTAATTTATAATTTACACCAAAAAAACATTTTAAATCAATATCATTTAAAAGTTTATGACTGATGTTTGTTCTAAATACATTTGCAAGTGGAAAAAATATTATTGATTGCATAAAAAATATTGGTAATCTTAAGAAAAAGTACCGGAGCAGCATGGTGATGATTAAAATTTTTATCAAGATCATAGTACTTGGTCTATGTAAACTATTCTTGGAACTCGGCGATATACACACCTGAGGCCTCATACAGAATGCGAATTATTCCGAATCGTTGATTTTCAAGTTTGCATGTGAATGTGATTAGATATTCCTGATGAAATTCTATCTATAGTCATACAGAAAAGTCGACGAGAAGTGCAGAATCATGAACATTCAATAAGAAAGATAAAAATGGACTAGAACTATATTAGATTGTACGCAAGAAAAAAAAATCAATAGTACTGTGTAATATTTTTCTTGATTACAGTAGTATTATGTAAAATGCTAAAAAATGCAATCTTTAAAATGGTAAATGTAGAAATATTAATTTAGATTACAAAGGTTTTAAAAAGATCATTAGGAATAGTAACACAGTAAAAAAAAGACCAAGAAGAAAAGTAATAAAGAATATGACGCTATAAAAATTCTCATTTTGACAACTGCATAAGAAAAGAAATATTTATAAACCTGGACTTTAATTCACTTTGGTTTACATATATATTCGCTGCAGAAAATTCAACGTCAGAAACCAAGTGTCTACGATATTTATATGTAACGTTTATATAAATATTTCATCTTTTTTCAGATATTTTATAAACATTTTTTCATCCAACTTATTTTTCTTAAATATAAACAATTGTTTTTAATTTATCTGCAATATTATATCACACTTTATTTCATTCTTATAAATTTTACCATGAAATATATTCTGTTTCTCGTTTAATGTGAAGCGAAAAAAGACTATGAAGTTATGAAAAAATCATAAAATACAATTAAACTAATGTATATTGCTAAATTTATAACTTCCGTAGCATTAAGTGTCTCTTCTTTGTACAGCAAACAATATTGCCTCTCGTGTTACGAAGAGAAGATTTATGAAACACTTGAAACTTTAACTTGTATTGGGTAAGATTGGTGCAAGTCGTCCTAACGTTGTGTACACGAGTCACCAGCTGCTTTTATTCCTAGAATTGATAGTTCTATTCCCACCAAGTAATTCATTACATATAAAAAGCAATAACAAACGAAAATAAATGATACAAGTACCAAGTAATGGCAATTTCATTTGCGGAAACCCTTCATTACGTTTATAAAATAAAATATACTTGTGAAATATTAAAAAAATGCTCTTCAGAATTTTATTGCGAAACTTCCAGCGAGTTAAAAGCTCTCGAACGAATTAGATTTTAAAATAATCTTTTAATTATTTTACATATCAATAACGAAAGAAAGTTTTTTGAATGCTCAAATATTTTTTTTTATCAATATAACGTGAAGTATAAAATAATTTCTCGAAAAATAAATTTTCATGCACAATTTATCAACTAGTACAACGAGTTACAAATTATTCATGTGGGAGATATCTTGATCTATTAGTCATTAATCAAAGAAGCTCTTTGAATTCGAATAACCACATTAACTACCAAACCGAAGGTTGCTTGTCTAGACGTTATGTTATACTACTTTACACTTGCAGCTACCCTTGATTAAAATTCAAACTGTCGTAACAGGGGCGTCATGAAAATTCTCCGTGCTCGCATAGCAGCCTATTTGAGTTCTCTCACCCTCTTACTGTGATGTTCACCACACCACCATAATTCGTCTCAACTTCCGGCTGGTAGAACCTAGTGAAAGAAACGCAAACGAGTCACTCGACCTCTTGCAGTATGTGTGTATGAGACGATAATTGTCAATACACCTTTGGTAGCATTCTCTTCGAACCTATAAATACCATCTACGTGCTATACTACTTGTTTGATAGCTTGTACAAGCATAACTACATATTTCCTTGGTGTTACGCCTTAAGTCCAATGTTAGATGATGAAAGACAAGTGTTTGGAGAAACACCTTCTATGTCTTTACTATCAAACATCATAAATACATGATACATAACCCTGTACACGTTCAACGACGACGTTCAAATGGACATAGATGTACTTGGTCTTATGAATTTTAATAGATACAAGAACACATTATTGATGCATTACTGCCTATCTTGCTAAGTTGTACATTAGCAATAGTAGCTACAGAGTATGCATCGTATAATCATGTAATGATGAAATTATTTATTAAAATTTCAATGGAATTTTTTCAACATTTAATAACAAGCAAAGTTGGTAATTTTTTATGAAGATGAATACATGTAAATACTTTCAAGATTGTTTTACAATTGGTTTTGGATTTCATTGTAGGATACTAGTAGGTTTCCATACAAAGTTACTAAATTATAGACTGGGATTGAGAATTTATGGAATATCTTCAAAGTAAAAATCTAAAAGTTACATAGTATGTATCATGTATGTTATTTATAGTTTACTAACTATATTTAATATACTCTTTACATATTTGTAGAAAATTTGTGCTATTTTAGATAACCATGAATACATTTACATCATTGGGATGATATTATATTGGATAGAACAGTTGAACGTTAGTAGTTGATCATGATAAAATGAGTTCATCATATTTTTAAACGAGAAGTAACGACTTTGAGATGACACCAAGCGGACCCGAAATATTCGAGAAAAATGGCAGCAAGGAGACACTAAGGAATAATTTATTCTTGCAGCGTTGCTGACACGTTATTCGTCATACCACATGACATTGGTTGGAAGAATTTGTGGAATTTTGGCTTATAATCTGCATCAGAATGAATAATTACAACGTTTAACTAGACGATCTCAGTTGGACCTTACTTTAATGACATTCATCATTATTTTAAATACAGTTTTTTACCTTTTTAAATAAATGTGGTTATCATCTCATGAGATTGTGAAATCCGTGAATTAAAGAACTCGGGAATTTAAGCAAATAATTGCCAATGTTATTATGAAAATGATGTATCTTTTAATGATTAATGTGATATAATAGATTATGAAAGATAATTTATCCTCAAAACTCAGTGAAGTAATTTTGTAATCACTGATTAACTCAATTAAATTTTGAAATTGAACCACATTGAGAAATTTAATGGAGTAATAATAAATAAATCACAGGCGAGTAAAGTCTGTAAGGAGTAAAGAGAATATAATAAACCTATAATTTAATACAATAGGTACGTAGTTAAATGAACTTCTATTGTATGAAATAGCTCTATAAGCACAATAAATCCTTTAAAACTTTCACATTTTACGTCTTTCTCAATAGAGTTCACTGGCTATAAATATCTTATTGAATTAACAATGTGAAATGAGTTTGAGATAATAAATTTTAATTGAATATTTATATGATTTTGATGATATCAAATCACATTTCATATGAACATTTAAGGATTTTAATATTTAATCATTGAATCAAAGTACTGTTATGTAGATTTATCTCCAAAAATATTTGGTGGGAAATAAAAACAGATCTAGTTTCTGTCTGTCGTCAGTCTGCTACGCTACGTTTACATATTACATAGCACTTGGTCGAGTTACTGTGTTGAATTATCCAACGTTGATGAGCTTGCTTTGCGATATATGAGTGTGAAACACCCATAGAAAACTACCTTACTTAGTATTCGTGTGCGCAATACGCGTGTGCATTCAACACTTTTGAGCGTTTAACCGATACTGGTTGTTTCTGTTTCTCTGCAACGTATACCAACTACTCAGATATTAGTCGAGTAGTAGTGAGTCACGCAGGGTCAGACGAGTGGGATGTGTGCTGGTGTAGAGCATGGGAGCTTGGTGGCATCCGTAGTAGGATAGCAAAGTCATACGGAGGTATATAGGTGCTTCTAACCGCATTGCAGAATTACCCGGCCAGGTATCCCGCTCCAAGAGCATAAAACAACCACCACTGAGGATGGCCATGAAGAAGCTACCAATGTGGTCAAGAACCCTAGGAAAATGTTTGGTCGACTCCATCCGATGTAGTTGGATTTATGGTGTGCTTATAGTAAAATAGAAAATACTCTTCAAAGGCACGAAAATTGAATAAAGTGGACTTTAAGGCACTGTGGAAAAAGCTAAAGCTTTTCTCTCGAATAATAGAGAAGAGATGACCATCAAGTTGATAACATAAGTTCCAAATTTACTTTTTTCTACTTTGAGAATATTTTTTAGAGTAAATAAAAATGAAAGAGAAATTCATTCTTTGTAACTTTGAAATAATACAATAGCTTTAAGCATATTATTATTACTTTTATATTCATAGCCACTCTTTGTATTTTTAAGAGTAATATATATGAAGCGTTGATGACCAGTTTGGTGAAAATTAGAATTAATGGTAACCATTCCTTTACATCTCTAGTCAAACGTTCTAACGAGCTCGTTCAGCTCGTTGGTTAAGTACAACCTAGTTGCTGTGTCACAGGAATCAATGTAACAAGTTGAAAATTAAGTTTACCTTACGCCTCCTAGTAAATTATGAATGAGATGTGATTAGTTATGACCAAAGTTACCGTCAATGAGCTTGTCATAAGTTATAATTATTTACAATAATAAACATTTTATTTTATCAAACCCAATTCAACTATATTTACACAAACAATTAATTAACAAATTTTGATAAATTCACAATCACCAACTATTCAAGTAATTAATGATGAACGTGAGTAATTTCTCAGCATACTTATCACCACTACCGCAAACCCTAATAAAGTTCCTGTCTTCTTAGTTACATTTTGGTAATTTGATTACTCAAGAGAAATTACTTGCTGCTGGAACAACTCAGAACAGAACCCAGTGGTTGGTTTCTCAACTTCATCGATGACCTTTCAAAAGTACTTAATACTTTTTATATTTTTCTAGATTATCGATTTAATTTCCAATATTTTTTTTTTTTCAAGCACTGAATAAATATGAA